CAGGCACCTTGGGAGGCCCTCAGGGGGCAGCCTCACCTTCAGGAAGCTGGCCATGGTGCTGACGTGGTTGGCGCACGCTCCCTTCCGCACATCATTCACACCCTCGCCCGTCTGCAACACAACACACCCAGTGTGACCCTCCAACACCCGCAAAGCCGCTGCCCTCCCTGGGGGCCCAGCAGAGGGAAAACCGCGACCCCAAAGCAGAGGATAAAGCGAGCCCCGCACCTCCAAGTCAAGGAGGTTCTTGAGGCAGGATGACCACCAGCTTCCGCTGGGAGCGGGGGGAGAAGGGAGGGCTCGGAACTTCCCAGTCCTACCCAGGGGTCCCATGCTCTCTGAGCCTTCTCCAGGCCCTCTGCTCCCTCAGGACCACTCTGAAGGGGACAAAAGCAAGGGTGTCCTGCGACTGTCCTCTATCCTCGATTTTGTAGGAACAATTCTGGGCTTGGGGGGAGGAGGGTGGGATTCTGGGCTGGCAAGGCCCCCACTGTCCTTGGGGCCACAAGGACTTCTCCCACTCTTCTGTTCATTCACCGTCTCCGAGCCGCCCTGAAGGCAAATCCTCCTCCGCTCCAATCACAGAAGGCAAAGAAGGAAAGAAGGAAAGGGAGTTTGGCTGAGTCACACCCAGATGAGAACTCAGGGCCCCCCCGTTCCACGTACCCAGTTGATGAGGACAAACTTGGGCAGGCCGGAGTTGGGGTCCTTTACCCTGCAGAAGGCGTACATCACCTTCCCGCTGTTGAGCTCCTCCACCATCTCCTCCAGGCCCCCCTCTGCAGCAGGCATGGGGTGGGGGGTCAGCGGGCCCGGCACCTGTGGCCGGCCCCGCACAGCGCCCACAGCAAGGGAAACCCAACCTGCCTCTGAACCAGGGTTGTCAGGGCCGCCTGCATTAGAATCAGACTTCTGGTCCTGCTCCCATTAAGCGGACTTACAGGAGCTGGGGGGCGGGCGGAGCCCCAGGATTTGCATCTGTGACAAGGACCTCAGGTGATGGTTTACACACCCCAGTTTAAAAACCATTCCTATGAAATCCACGGGGAGTTCCGGAAATAAAAAATGTCATTTCTGCTACAAATTAGGCACCAGGCTTCCAAATGGACCGTGTCCGCAACAGCCTGCCTGGACCCCACAAAGGGCCCTGAACAGGTGGGAATGTCCTGCAGCCACGCTTGGGCTCAGCTCTCAGACCCTCCCCGTAAAGACGGGGGAGTGACGGGGGCGTGGGAGCAGGCCCTCCTCAGCCACTGTCCCGACACGGAGGTTGTGCTTCTTATCAGCACCCCCACACCCTCCCAGGCTGCGAGGAGTGTAGGGGCAGGCCCGAGCCCCCACTCCGGGCATTCACAGCAGAGCCCTGTGAGCGGCACTGGGGGTGGTGCCTCAGGCACCGCAGGGCGCAGGACACCACGGCCACCTGCGATCCTCCTAAAAAGACGAGGGAGCGGCTTTCTAGAACAGGCCGCCGGAACCACTCTATGGCAAGCGGAGAAGGCACTGCTGAGTGTTCGCTGAGTAACAAGGCGGTGTGTGGCTCCCCAACTCTGACGCGACTGTGGGGAGGGTCACGCAGGGACACCTTCCGTTCGCTGTGATGGCTGAGATGCCGGCCGCCAGGGAGCAGTGACGGCTGCAACGCTCTCCCCTCCCCCACACCTGCCTCCTGATGCCCCCCAACCCCCGGCCTCACCGGGTCGTACTCACCCCCAGTGCCGGCCACACGGATGTCATTGCTGTTACCCTCATAGGTAAAGAGAGCCCTGAAACAAAACACAAACATGTTAGCTCTGTGACCTGCATTCTGGGGGTCGGCTGCCCTCCCGCACTAACCACGAGCGGAGCGTGGGCCCCACTCTGACCCGCGAGGCAGGAGCTCTGCAGGGCCCTTCTCAGTTCTTACGCGCAGCGGCTTCTCCTGAGGGACAAACCTATGAAGGGGAGTCTCCGTCTACTTTGAGAACACTAAGCTGTGAAGTTTGTTTGATTTTAAGTAGGCTCCACGTCCAACGTGGGGCTGGAACCCACCACCCTGAGATCAAGAGTCGCATGCTCTACTCACTGAGCCCGCCAGGCGCCCCAGAGCTGGAAGGTTTCATAAAGGCAATTTTCTGCACCTTCCTGAACCCAAAGCACCCCAGGAGGAGCAGGAAGCCGAGTGTGCACGTTAGGCATCTGGGAAGGCCGCCAACGCCCTCGTGCAGGTCGGCTCTGTCTTCTGAAAGCCTGAGGAGTTGGTGGAGCAGGTCTCTCTGGGCTTGGGACTCTTCTGGAAAACCCAGAAGCCACACAGGCCATGACTCAGCATGAAGTCAGGCTTCTCACAGGACAGACTCCTTGGTTAGGCAAAGTTCTCTTTCTGGAGGAGCCATAACTCTCTATAGGTGACCCTGGGCTGCCCCTTTCTTTTCCTGTGAGACTAATTATTCCTAAGAACTCTGGGAAAGATTCACGCTTGTGAACTGGAGCCCCAGAGGAGTTGAGGAAATACGGCAAATTTTATCACACCTGGGGCATGGGAAGTCCCTTGACCGGAACAGAGGTTAAGCATGGAGAACATTCTGGAAGATATGGCTTATCCACAGTCCACATGGAGCCCAACCATCAACACCAACTCTGCCGCAGTTCAGCTCCGGGCAGTGCTAGGGTAGGGGTGCTGAGCCAGCGGATAGCAAGTCAAAGGCAGAACCCGAACTAGCGGGCCATCCCCCATGCTCTGAGCACAGGCTGCCAAGGAGGGCCAGCTAGGGGCTGCGGGGTAGGAGTGGGACAGGAACCAGGATGCCTGGCTGGCTCACTCGGTGGAGCGTGCAACTCTTGATCTCGGGGTTGTGGGTTCGAGCCCCACACTGGGTGTAGAGATCACTTAAAAATAAAATCTGAAAACAAAAAACCAACCCCCAAAAAACCCCGAATCTGAAAGGAACCAAATCAGCCTCCACTCAGCTTCCCCACAGCCTTGCTAAAGCCACTGGGCAGAACTGCCTAGCCTAAGAAAGTCTGAAGAAAGGAGACCCAGGCCCCGAGGGTCTGGTTGGCACGGGGGGACAGGTCTCTGAGGAGAGACACTAAAAGGAACATGCAGACAAACAGGGATAAGACGTGGGAGTTGGTGGACGTGCAGATTCTGGTGGCCAGGGTCCTGGCCAGCCCTCCTCCCGGGGGAATGAAGCCCTTACATCTCGAAGCCACCAAGCCCTGGCTGGCCAGGGTCCTGGCCAGCCCTCCTCCCAGGGGAAAGCCGCCCTTACATCTCAAAGCCACCTAGCCCTGGCTGCAGAAGACGGGGACACTAGACAAGCAGCAGGGAGCAGAGATTGCTTCCAAGAAGGGACCCGGCAGCTCGTAAGAGCCAAGCTCCATGCCTGCCGCCTGCCCTCCAACTCCACTCCCCTCCACCCAGGGCTCCAGCCTAAGCCACCTTCGTGAATGTTCCCAGCTCAGAGGCTCATTCCCACTTTCAACGGACTTCCATCCTTCTTTCAAATCACCGTGGAAGAGAGGTGTGCTGGCCTGGGCACAGCTCATGGAGTGTGGCGCATGAGCGCCTTGTAACTCATTCATCTCTTCCAAACACACCTACTGAGAAGCTGCTCCTTGCTGCTCACAGGCATGAAACTTCCAATAAATCCCCAGAGGCCCTGACCATGGAACTTACTTTCTAATGGGAAACAAAAAAAGAAACACAGCGACACACACCAATGTCCGGTCAGGTAGTGAAGTGGGTGCTGGAGGTAAACAAACGTGCCTCAATCTAGAACAATCTGGGAACCGGGACAAAGACCCGTGGTGGAGAGCTGATACACTTGCTCCCCACCCCACCTGGCTTCAGGGCCCAGCCCGACGCCACCCACTCTGCCTGGGAAACCTTTCATGACCCACCAAAGCGGAGACCACCTCCTCTTGCTGGCACCCTCTACCACACCTTCTGTACCCTGCTCAGGTCACTGTGCATCCGGGCGCTGACTGCTGACCGTTCTGGGGACAGAGACAGGGCCCAGCCCTCTGGTGCAGAGAACGGTGCCAGGAAAACCAGTGAAGGTGTCTGGCACGTGTCTGGGGAAAGTCACACAAGGAGCCAGGAGTCGAGGAAGACTTCTCCAAGAATGCAGTGTCCGAGCTGAGAAGTTTGGGGAGCCCCCTGGGACGATGTGGAAGGTGCCCTAGAATGGGGAAGCAGCAAGAGCAAGGGCTCTGAGGAGGAAGCAGCTCGCAAGTTTGAGGAAGAGAAAGAAGGCCACCGTGGTGGCAAGCAGGTGTGGCCCCAGTGTGGTAAGCGGGAGGGGTGGCGGGAGGGGGTCCGGAGCCAGCCACACAGGGCCTTGCAGCAGAGGTGAGATGTCTGGGCTTTAATGTGAAACAGGAAGCCACTGAAGTGTAAGCACAGGAGTAACATGGTCTAGATACTTGTTCAGCTAAGGAGTGGGGACCCGCCACACATTATCTGTTGAGATGCTTAATGGCTGTGACAGCGAGAGCAGAAACCGGGGGTCACGCCACTGAGCGGTGTGACCTGGAGTGCTGCCAGACGGGTGGGCTCGGACACAGGGAGGGGAACGAGGCTCAGCACCCTCACGAGGGACAGAGGGAAGCTGGGCTGGGTAAGTTTCAGACCAGGGTGGTCGCAGATAGCTCTGAGAAGAAGCCCGAGGAAAAGCTAGGAACACGGGAGGCCTGAGCTGCCAGCTGGGCTGTGGGACATGATCCCCAAACCAGTGGTGGTCCCTGAGAACGAAGAGACCCGAAGGAAGGCAGGGGGCCCAGGAGTCGCGCAGGTACATCAGAAAGGGCTACCCCAGATACTCAAGGGCGCACAAAATAGCAACACCCTAACTGAGCAGGACTGGAGAGGGGCAGAGATGCTGCCAGCTCAAAGGCAGGTGGCCGCGGGTGGATGTGAAACGGGGCGCTCAGCGTGGCGGTCCGGTCGGCAGGATTTGGAGTAACAGAAGAGGTGTCACGGCCCTCTGAGAACAGGAGGAGGTGGGGTAGGGAGGTGACATCTAGAAACTCCCAGAAAAATAAGTGCCTGAAGTGTGAGTGAACCTCCTAAAGCACTACGAGAAAGAGAAGGTAGGGAAATTCCACTGGTTACCAGACACCCTTCCCAACTACCTAGCTGTGTTCCCAACAGAGGAGCTGCTTGGTTCCCCCGCAACAAGTCCCATCAGGGTCAACGGTGTCCCAGGCACGAGAGGAGTCTGCACATCCAGGCAGCAGGTGCTCTGAAGCTCTTCCCCAAAAGGCCCAGTGCACATCCTCAGTGCACAACAGAACACGGCACGAAGGCCGCAGGGAACACGGCGAGCAGCGACCACCAGCGCGTGGAGACCAGCCAGGCACAGCAGCAGTCACCCGGAGCGGGGCCTGCCCCTGCCACGGGAAGAGGCTCCTCACAGCCGGTCACCTTAGTTCACCATACTCAGCATACTTCTTAGGACTGGAAGTGCTCAGAACTGGTCAGCGCGAACAACTGAAGCAAGCGGGGAGTGACCATGCGTAGCAAGCAGAGGGCTGAGCCTGCGCGTGGGCTGCCCAGGGCTATCCCAGAGACTTCAGACCTGGCTTCCAGAGTCAGAAAGCCCCATCCAGTGCACGAAGAGAACCACACACTGACGGCCTAGGGGAGGGTGTCAGGGGGAGGTGGAGGGATGACGGGGTCTTTGTCCAAATAGGCAGCCAGCATCGCTGTGTCACTCGTCTCCCATAGGGAGGGGTATTCTTGGAGAGAGGGAGACTCTGAAATCCACATTCCCAGAAACCCAGAGACCCAAACCCCCGACCTGACCTCCTGCTCCGCCGCCTGTGGGGCAGGGCTCCCGTTCCCAGGCGGGGTCCGGGGCGCTCAGAGGCCCCTCCCTGGGGGGCGCTGGGAAGACCCCGGGCACGGCTTCCGCTCGGTCAGGGACGGCTGCGGGGAGCCCCTTGGTGCAGGAAGTGCCCGGCAGGGAAGGAGAACCTGGCGGAGCCACCTGGCGGAGCCACCCAGCCCAGCCAGCCGCACAATCCAACATGGAGGCCGGCGGAGGGGCGGAGCCGGGGAGGCGCGGGCCCCTCACGCTCGGCGGGACGGCTGGGGACGGCGACGGGGACAGCGGCTCTCGGGGCGCGCGCGGCGCAGCTGAAGGGTGAGCGGGGAGCCCCCGGGAGCCCCCTCCCGCCCCGGCCCGCCCCCCGGCCTGCCCGTCCCGGCGCCCACCAGTCAGTCGGGGACTTCTCGGCGACCACCCGCACGTAGGCTTCCTGCAGCGCCGGCCCGTTCCGACTCAGGTTCGCAGCCATGACCGACCCCTCAGACCCCTCGCCG